CTGTCCACAAGTGAGAGTTTGGCCAGGTACAGAGACTGGGGGCTCTTGTTCAGCTTAGTCTTTGCCTTGGAGAAGGAGGAGGGGAGAGGGAGGAAGTAGCATCCCAGGCATCACTCCTGTATTTTGGCACCTCCAGTGTATGCAACGTGGGCTTGCTTGTTTTCTTAATCATTTTGCTGTGGAAATCTTTACAGGTCTTGTTTCTCAGTAATCACCCAGGGATTTCTTTCTGATTAGGCCAAGAAGTTTAGTTCTATTTTGTACCTTGGAATTTTATTTTTTAAATGCTTGAATTAGACTAAGATTTTTCTCAGGGAGGAGGCAGAAGTACTCCTAGCATGGAAATGTGGAAAGGGATTTTTAAAAGTGTTTTTCTCACTTTTCTCTAAAAGTTGAAGTTTTTAAGTTTACCAGTGTTCTTTCAAATGTCTCAACTAACTCGTGACGTTTTCTATTATTTGAGTTTTTAAACCTGAAACTGGAACCTCAATCAGCAGTTAAATTGTCTGATTTAGGATTAGCAAAGAATAGAAAATGTTTTAAAGTTTGCTAGTATGGCCAGTTCACATCATTAATGCCAAATTTCCGTAGTACTGAATAAGCTTTTTATGTAGTATACATAAATTGTTGGATTTGACAGTTTACAAACCGCTGTTACCTTTTGTTAGAAGTCAAACTGTAACGTCCATTTTTAAAAGCTATGAGGGTTCTTGATTCTTACCATATTGAGTAAAACACACACCTCAACATACTTGGGATGAAAATTACGTTTATACTCCCTAAGAAACAGCATTTGTACCCTATAACTTGAAATAAGGCAGTAAATGAATGGCTTGTTGTGGAAATATGCCTTAGAAACAGTTACTCTTAAGAGATTTGGGAACGATTTAATGACAAATTAGAATGCAAATCTTCGTGATTCTTTGCCTGGGAAGAGTAGTTTGGGTTAGTTAAATGCTCAAAGATGTGACAGTTTTGTGAACAACAGTAAATGAAGTTGAGACAACATTAATATACACCTAAATGTGTTATCTTAATCAAGATTGTTAGATCTAAGTCATTAGAGTAAGATGACATATTTAGATGTATAAATCAATGTGACAAGTTACAGAAACTCTCACATTTCCATGAAGAGTTTCAGAAACTCACATCTGAACCATGCCCTAGCATCAACTTCACAGTCAGAAAGTTTTTTGGCAGATGGGGAAAGGGAAATCCTTGTACCAAAAGCTTTGGACTCAGAAAATTTGAAGTGGTTCTCTCATGTGGAACAATGTCCTTGGTAGAAAAAAAAATTATGGATTATTGACAGCTGCAATCCAATCTGACAAGGTGTTGAAGAATAATTTCCTTCCAACTATAACTTTGTGATTGTTCAGAGGGAAAAAAATAGATAAAATGTGTGAAATTTATTACATAGATAAGTGAGGTGTTGGATAGTTTCCTTGTAATTATAATTTTGTTGTTAAGAGAAAAACTAGATAAACTGCCTGGAATTTATTAAAAATATGGCATAAATAATTTTTTGAAGCAGAGCAATGTATTTGACAAAATAACTTTCTTATGGTTTCACTTAATTGCACTGCAGATTTAGAAAGCGTAGTCTTTAAGTTGGTACAGCTGAAAAACTGCTACTCATTGTAGCAGTTCCTATTACTTTACAAAAAAAAAAAA